ACCGTCCCTTCATAGTTTTGGAGACTATACTAAACTTCGCCCCATATGTTTTCTATATTTACCCATTGAAACCCGTACGTGACACAAACAGTGAGCCTGGGTAACCTGTGTTAAAGAGTGGCGGTGAATTGTATTTGTTCTTAATGCGCAGTTTAAAGGAGCTGTGTCTTGAATTTTATCAAAATTCTAACTATAGGAACTGCCACCAAATTGGGTGAAACAAAAAAAATAACAGCTCAAAATATTAAAAGAAGGTATTAATAATAACACAGCAAATACAAAAGTAGGCACAGATGGACAAACTGGAAGAAGATTAAAACGGATTAAAATTGCGGGTTTCTGAACACGTCTTGGCCTAACAGTTTTTTCAAAGTTAATTTTTGTTGTTTGTGACGTTTAATATAATGTTGTATACATATTTGCCTCTACTTTGTTAAATAATGATTTAAACATTCCATTGTTACCCTAACTCTTTTCTTAGATTAACGCAGTTGTCACTTAGCAATACAAAACTGACAGATGATGGAATGAAAAGTTTAGCAGGTAAGGCTATATTTGATTCCTGAGGCGCATAATGTTCCTGTAAACAATTCCTTTTCAGACACAATTCATGTTCAAACAGCACCTCCACACTTGACACACAAATGAGGTTCAATACAATTTAACAGAGTAAACAACCAAGAGCAGCCAATATGTTCATGGCGGCCAGCGGCAGATGAGTTCGGCGCATGCTCCGAGCACTCTCAGTAGCCTCAAAGCACGTTTCAGTGTATGAAAGCTGACAAAGCTGGTGGCGGCTTTTTCCTGTGGAGTGCGCTCTTCATTTTCAATTTTTTCAAAGCCTGAGGGACCCAGTGTGGTGTGGGGGCTCATCGCTGCTGGTTTACGGTCATCTCGCCGCCAACGAAATCGCCCCAAAGAACCAAGGAATAACTCTTAAATTGTTGACACAGTTTAATACGTAGGATTACTCACCTAGGGTTTTTACTTTTTCGACAAACTTATTCGAATTTGCCGTCGACCTAAATACAAATCTGTTTATCCTTGCGTCGAACTTTTTGCGCTCTTAATTCTCCAAATGCTTCGGTGAAAGTAGTAAACTTTGACTTTTTAGAGGTAAAAAAAACTGACAGAAAGTTTCACAACCTCCGGTCATTTGTTTGAAATAAAACAGTTGCCTAGTCCCTAGGCTTCATTATCCCGCGCGGCCAAAGCGTTTCGTGTCACGTGGTCCATGGGAAAGTAAAGGTTAAGAGAAAAATTTCTGCTCATGAAAGTTCTTTTTATTTTCATTTTTGGTGACGATTTCGTTGGTGGCGAGATGGTTTGGTGGCAAGGTGACCGGATAAATGGCTGGGTTGCGGGGATGGCCAGTCATGGGAGCGGCTTTCTGTCTAGGGGCGGGCTGGACACAGTAGACGCCCCTGTAGATATTCCAGGCACCTATCTTCATTACACTGCGACGCAGTTGATACATGGATAATAGAACCAGTCTTTCTATTATCCATGGTTGATAACAGGACTTTATCCGGATCCTCAAAAGTTAGTCATCTCCAGATTTGTCTTTGGGATCAAAATAGTCACAGTAATTTTTTTTTGTGGTTTCCTTCAACAGCACTGACTGAGCTTGAGGAGCTGAATTTGGACAGAACGCTGATAACGGATGATGGGTGTACTGTGCTCTCCTGTAAGTACTACCTGCTGTCTGGTCAAATTGTCTCCTCCGAAAATTTACACATAAAGACTTTCACTTTCAACTCTTTAATTTACTTTAGATTTGTTTTCTGGCCCACACAGGTTTTAGACACCTTCGTATTCTTGGTTTATCATCCACAAGAATAAGTAACAAGCTTCTACTGAATGGCACTTTAAATGAGTGCAAAACCCTAACGCAGCTGAACTTAAGCAGAACTAGGATATCAGACAAGAGATTAGATCAGCTGGTACTACCAGTGCTGAGTCAGCTGAATCTTGATTGGACAAGAGTCACACCTAGCGGCTGTCTTACACTTCTTACAGGTATTGATTCTCTTCGGACCTTTGGGTCATGAAGGCGACGGCGCGCAAACAAACTGAGCGAGCGGTGGGTGAGAGCGGTGAAGCCGCTAGGAGATTGGGGCGCGAACAAGATATTTTTTCTTGTTGCAGCTAACTCGCGGCTTCACCGGTCGTTCGCGCGCACTAACCTTAGCTTGCTTGCGTGCGCTCCGAACAATACTGCCAGCTATGCGGACTATTGTATAGAAAGTGGTTTGTAGGATTTTGATGTGGCAGGTTGTGTTAAGCTTTGTCACTTTGTCATGGCCTTGTTTGTTCGGTTGTTTTTGAACAAAGGGAAATAGCCATTGTTGCCTTTCTTGAGTTATTTTACTGTAGACACCAAACTAAGGGTTGCTCATTAAAATAGAGTTAAAATAGAGTTTTTGCTGACAACGTCTAGGAGGCTTAAGGCCGCATTAGAATTAACCTTACTATCAGGCTTTTTTTTCTTTTCTTGTTTTATTATTATTATTATTATTATTATTATTGTTTTCTGATACTCAGGTTACATTGTAGACATAGGAATACCATTTATTTGGAGCTTGATGTTATACCCAAATACATACCAATATAATGTTTCTAACCCTACAAGAGCGAAATAATCAAACGAACCAATCATTACTCGAACTACGCATGTGTACCCCGCGTTCCCTCGCGAAGGGCGGGAAAAGCGACAGAATAACCCAATTTGGGGACAACCTCGTGGAACAGGGTACCTGGAGATTTTCGAAAATACTTCCATATACCTTTACGAAACTGAGACGAGAATCGTTCCATTTCAAGTATTTTTTATATTCCCTTAAAATTTTTTTCGACCGTTTTTATTATGTTTAGGTTGTCCTTCGCTTAAAGCCTTGAGAACAAATAATTGCACGCCGCCATCTCAGGATTCCGAAGATTCAGACGAAGAACAACAGCAACAATGAGGAATTGCCTTCAAAAGCAGATATGATTTTGACTGACAAATTTTGCTGTCTTCAACCCTCTTTCACAGATATGCAACATTTTATAAGATAAGAATAACATGGTGATTTCCCACAATTCTTAGTTTGCAACCATGTGACAAGACGGCCATGTTGGGGGTCAAACCAATAGAATCGACGAATTTACATGAAAATAGAGTTTAGTTCCCAGCCGCGGAGAGAAATGCTTTTGTTCTTAACAACCAACATGGCCGCCGTGACCTCACGTACAAGCCAACAATACTTTAGATCTATGGCAAGACAAGCTGTAGTCAGATTGCCAATTGTTTTTGTTCAGGTTATTGCTTAATCTTCTGAAGAATACCACAGCTGACTGAAGTTGTTTTTTTTAAGTAAAGAATTAGGCAACAGACCCTTCCAAGAGTTTCCACGTTTGAACAGGGCCCTTTAGCAAACATTTATCTACACTGCTGGAAAGACCCCCTTAAAACGCAAAACTTTGTAGTGGTTTGTCAGAAAAGAGCAAGGGTATAGCTTCGCAAAGCCCCAAAATTTTACAGACGTTTCTATGGTGGGACTCGTGAACTTGAATTACGGCGTGACTTTGCAGAGTTATACCTTCGCTAATTCTTAAACTTGGCAACTTTGTAACCAGAATTGCAGCCATCTTCTCGAAACTCTCTCAGGAGTTTGCGATTCGAGGAGACGGCTGAAATTCAGGCTAGACAACTTTAGTGATTTTACGGCGCTCATTTATACAGCGGTGTCGAGTTAAAAAATGGTTGAAGTGTCTATTTTACAGATAGAGATTCCCGTTCGTAAGGCAGAGTTTTCAAGTACGAGTGTACAAAAAAGTATGCGGTTTACTCTGCTCACAGTGGATTTTTTTCTGCACGGTTTTTAGTTTTGACGAAGTCATCCGCTTGGTTGGCTTGTTAAACAAGCCAGCTACGCGAACTTCAGCGACGCGAGCGACTTCGTAAATGACAAAAACCATGCCGGAATGAAACCTAAGCTAGCAGGGTAGTTGTGGTTAAACAGTATAAAAAACCATCCAAACCCAGCAAGTGAAGTCAAAGTGATTTCTCCTTCTCTATTTAGTGGCTTTGGTACACACAGAAAAACTCGACGATGTGTTTTTTCATCAGCTTTTCAACGTGATTCAAATGTATTTGTACTTGAAGAGAACTAGAACGTTGTTGTGGTTTATGTAAATGGTCCATAAAGGACCTTTCTTTTTTCTGCCAGAGTGAACGTTGTCACTATTTTACTGAAACTCTGAAAATTCAAAAGACGGAGACTTTTATCGAAGGGTAATTTAAGTATCTCTTAAGAACTAACGGAGACATGTAACCGATTTAAGTGGAAAAGAAATGGATAAATAAACTATGTTTTTCGAAATATAATGTTGGCTTAGTTTTGACCAATAGAACGAAAAAATCTCAAATATTCTCTTTGTGACCTTTGTGTTTTCTCAGAAACATACATGTATTTGGTTGTACGTTTCTGGTTTTCTGCATTCCAAAATCCAGTGATTCAAATATTGCAAGACTGATTGCCTGTTTTAGGCGTTTAGATGGCTCGGACGGTACAAGGAGAAGTCCACGCTCCTCTAGCTATCTTAAACGTGCAACAGATTCGTGAAAGAAAAACCGTTCTTTTCTGCCGAGAGTGATCGAGCCGAGAGGCAAACTGGGGAGAGGCCCGCTCGAGTCAATCCGCCATACTTTTTCTCTCTTTTTTTTTATTGAGCATTGAAAGAAAAACTGGTCGTGGTACTTAAAAAGAAATATTTCATGAACTTCACGAATGACACGAAATATGACATCATGTTGAGCCCGCGAATGCAGTCCTGCGGATTTGGCCAGTCAAATCACGTGAGTAGAATAAGCCGCGTGATTTGATTGGTTGCTGTCGTGTGTTTGAAAGAAAAAGAGGGAAAAAACGAACAACATGGTTGCATGACAGTCTTGTGAAGGCGGTTTCTTCTTCGTTCAAAATTGGTTTTTACAGTGTTATTTTAAGGCGTGCAAGCATATGAAGGAATCCGTTATGTCTGTCTCCTCACTTGTTGGAGCTTTTGATGACATCGTTCGCTCCACTTCAGTCCTCGCCGAAGGAATTGAAGGAGGTTTGTGATCCGATTCTTCGCTCGTTGTTCGATCATTGGTAGATCATATTGTCCATGCCATAGTGTTGCTTGATTTGTCAGCAGTTAAAAGCTTTTCGAAATTATGAACGTTACTTCGACTTTTTTCTTCCGTTAATCAGCTCAGTTCTGAAATCTAATAAGCATTATTCAGGAATAAGTTACATGCAAAAGCAAGCAACGTGCAAAGCTCTCAGTTCTTGAGTTCAGTTCTTGAGTTGACTTAAGCTTATAAGAACATTTAAATAAATAATTTTACTCTATCCTAGAATTCATTAAGTTCGTCACACAACAAGAAGAATGTCGGAAGAAGTGGCTTTCTGCCGAGAATGAAGCTATCCGACTAAAGCAAGAGATCGCAAAACTCCAGGTAACATGTTGGACGTTTTGTAATTATTAATAAACGAATAATCCTAGCCTTTGGTGGGCTCTTTCATGTAACTTTCTGTTCCGGGACGTGAGCTCAAGTTTTAACAATTTAACAATATTTTTCAGGCTGAAAATGAAGCACTTGAAGTTAAGTTGAAGCACGCAAGGTTGGTAGATAAATGTTATAACAAAATAACAAAACTTTGACTTAAGAAGTTGAAAGAAAAACGCATGTTTTGAGTTTAGAAAAAATTCTAACTTCAGAAACCAGAAAAGCAGTCAAACATTCATATTAAACGCTGTAGTAGTCATACAGCACTACAGAGATTTATATCATAAATGATGATAGTCAAACAGCAGAAGATGCAATACCATATGTTGTATTTTACGGTTGGTTTTACATTATAAGTTTATCTTTGCTTTTCAGGAGCCAAGTTGAAATAGAAATCAAGAAGAGGATGAAAGCTGAAGCAACTCAAGACCACTTGGTAGGCATTTACAAAAATTAATATCATAAAATGTACAGGCCCCAATGGTTGATAAGGTGGATAACTTTATCCATTGGATGACATCTATATCCAGTCAAAATGTATATTGGTAATACTTATGTGCTGGATAGTGATTTATTCCGTAGATAGTGCTATGTAATGTATGAACAATGGGTGCCATAAAATAGTTACTGTATTCTTTTCCGAAAGGGCATGTATCTGGCTAAGTCACCATTTTGGTCGGACAAAATAAAAATGTGCTTGAGATCAATTAATAATCAATGCATTTCGTTTCCTAAAGACAGAAAAATTACATCATGTATGACAGGTACAGGAAGTGTAGGTTGACTGATTACTTCCATACCTTCACACAGCATGCAAAGAAAGTTACAAGTGTCCAATAGCCCAGGGCTAGTGGATTTTGCTATTGGGTTAGTGAATTCTGTTCTTAGCTTCAGTGCCCAACTGGCAAGTGAAGTATTTTTGGGAATTCAACTTACAGAACAACTGTTATCAAAATCTTTTTTTTTTTTAGTTAAAATGACTTTTGAGCTAGTACATGCTAATTACAAATGGCAGGCAAGCTGTAAAACTGACTTTCTTTGCACCCTGCATCACAGCAACAATATTATTTTGTTTTTGTACTTCAATTTACATTTGCTCAAGATAGATTTTATTTATCTGCAAAATGATAGTGTGGTATTAACTTTTTGTGGACATCATATCCAACCACAGTTAAGATTTTAACGTCTGAAATTGACCAATTTTATTCTGCCCCCTTGCCTAGTCCCATCCATTTGTCTGGAACAAGTAGATTTTTGTGCTGGACAAGGACCTTTTTAAGCTCACAAGCAAAATGTGCTGGAATTCAAGGTTCATAGTCGTGCTGTGAGATGCACACCACATCAAACGTGGAGTTAGTCCCTGCTTATGTAAGATCGAAACAACTGTGTTGCAGAGAGGGACTGTTGTTTTTGTTAGTGTCAAGTGACTATTAAATTATTGTTGTTTCATGTCATGTTACAGGAGAGACAAGTAGCATTGATCCGCGAACTGTTAAGTGACAAGGACACCATGAGCAGGTTAAATGACAATGAAAGACAGACGCTAATGCAACTGAGCCAGTGTCACCATGATGATATGACCAGTCCAAGGAAAAGGTATGAAAGCGTTATTACATGGTGGCACGGAGATACAAAATTTCTCTTCGAGTGTTGAAAAATATTTCACGAGTGAGCGCAGCAAACGAGTGAAATATTTCTTCAACACGAGAAGAGAGATTTCGTATCTCCAAGCAGCCATGTAATGTTCTATTCATTATATAAACACCAATGAACTACCAAACAATTTCACTTTAATAGTTTTTTGGTGTGAAGGGCCCAATTTATTTTTTTGTCATAGCAGTGGTGATATTCTCACATGTGAAGATAACATGTTATTTTCACATGTGAAGATATCAAGTTTTCGTGCGAAAGCTCACCTGGTATTTCATTGGTGTTTATATAATAAAAATACTTATGAAATGCAATGGCTCATTCAAAATGTTTTTTTTCTATGGTAAGCAGGATAACAGGGTGCAAAAAGTCAGTAGCTTGCATATATTAAGTGTTTTGACTGGGCTGTGTAACATTGCCTCCCCCACATTTGTTGATGAGAAAAGCAATTTTCCCAAGTAGTTTGTTTCGAGACTTTTGTGCTGTATCATGGACAGATTTTTTCCCCTGTTTCTGCCAGTAACTGGTGCCTCAACAAATTATCGTTGTTAGAATCCTTTCATGAATGCAGTCATGGGTCATAGATTTTCACAGAGTGATGCAGTACGAACCTGCAATAAGTTAAACACCTCTTGCAGAGCTGTCATTAAAGATCATAACCTGTTGCATTTGTTAAGGCTGAGATCACTTTGTTACTGGTGATCAAAGAGGAAAGCTTTAATGTGAAACTATAAATTTTTGTGACATGTTAAAGGTGAATACCGGTATTCATTTACTAAGACTCCTTCTAAACTTAATGACAGTCCTGTCTTGGGTTAATTTATTGGCCAAATAAGGGCAGTATTACTGCCTAAATTTATAAAGACCACTAATTACCAGAAAGCCATTTCAAAGGGTTGCTGAAAATTAGTGGTTTTTATCAGAGCCTAAGTTTGTATATAAAGGTCATTACTGTAACAAAAATGTGATGAGTAGTTGTCATATTGTCATCAGGCGCTTAAGTGTTCAGGATGAATCCACTGGATCTATCTTATCTCCATCAGATATCAGTTACGACAACACAGAGGATGACTTGGTAGGGTTTGCTAATAGAAGTAAACAGTCAATTCTTGTCTTGCGGATACTTTGCTATAACGGACACCCCAATAATAAACTAGACATTAATCCCCTGCAAAAAATAAATAATAAGAAGAAAACAGATGTTTGATATAAATAAATCCTCTCTATTATGGACCTTTGCTGTTAAAGATACGAACTCATGGTCTTGAGGGTGTCCAAAATAGGCAGATCTAGCAAAGACAACATAATGATAGTGACGATTGCACACGCAGATCTAAAAACCGATTTTAACCAATGGCTGAACATCAGATTGAGAACTGGAAAATACCTTTGATTTTCCAATGTTTTGAATTTCATTTTACCTTGCATTGAACCCATATATTTTTGTTAAGTAACACTTAAATTGCCTTTTATTAGTTACATGTGATAGGCCCAATGCATGAACACCAAACTAAAAACATTTACATGCTTTTATTTTACTAGGATGTCTCTCAACCCAAGAGAGTTTCAATACACAGAAAGGTACAGAATACATTAGAATTCAGCCTTTTAGTAAATAAAAAATAATTATTTTGTTTTATTTATTACATTGTGTGTGTTATAAAAATACCAGGAGACATGGGGCCCTGATTCAGCTGTTGAAAAATAATATCTGCTGTTTGACATGGCAGTGAATTAGGGGTATGTAGTTAACAGATACCATATGTTGATGAAAACACAGTTTATTTAGGCTGTAATCATAGTTAGTTATAGAGTTGAATGCAATTTTTTATTGTTAACGTGAGGAAATTACATGGTTAACCACTTACATATACTGTAGTAACACTAACAAAATATTGTATAATTTTTTTCCTTAAATTTGCAGCCTCCTCCTACAGCTCCAGAGCTTGATGTAAGTTGCACCCAGTGAAGTTATAATTGGTGTTAATTTGATAGGCAGTAATCTAACATTTTAAAAGTACTGTGTTCGTTCCCAGTAATTATGTAACTATGACATTCAACAAAAATTCATCCAGCTTCGCAGATGTAATCTAACCCCAGTTTGTATGTCTGCAAGCAGCCCTGCTATGGCTGTTCTGAAGCCCCAACAGTCTCATCGAATTACCAGAAATGCATTTAGAAATTTCCAGTCAACCTGATTGCCAAATCAACAATGGCTTTTTTAACAGGCCAATCATGGCACGTACTCAAATCCTAGTACACAGGTGGGGGCCTAGAATACAAGGATTTTGAAACTGTTTCACAGATGAACTTAACCTTCTGGGCCCAGTTGTTCGATGGCCGATTAGCACTTAACCCAGGATTAAATTTAACCCCGGTTTCTTTTTCTTGTGTTCCAAAGCATTTTCTTGGATAATTTCCTCTGTTATTTTTAAAGCTTTCAATAATCAACTTGTAGACAAAAAGGATTAAAACTGAAATGATTTTTAAGCTTTCATATTTGAATTCAAATCTTGCACTAACCCTGGGTTATCTTAACCCAGCTTTGAACAACTCAGCCCTGTTGGGTGGGCTGTCTTGAAATGTGCAGTTTATACAATATTTCCTCAAATCAGTGAGTGCCTGTGCAGCCAAAAAAGTGAGTATTCCATCATGAGCAAATCCTAACTTCCATTAGTTGGAATCATTTGCATACATTTTTTTCAGTGGAGAAAATTAATCCAAGTTTTTTTTGTTATTCTTATTTATTATACTTTATTTATTTTTCACTTTATTTCTCTCAGGTTACTCCTCCTAAAAGGCCAAGAAAGGATGAGGTAGTTCTTTTTTCTAAGAAAATGATATTAAAATAAGAAATTGTTGCAATTTGTAAAGTACAAACTTCTGTTCATTTTATGGTTATTCTATGTTAAAAAATTTCACATACCCCAGTGTTCTTACCAGACTGCAGCATTGCCACACTTTTTCAAGAAAATACTGCACTAAAATTAGCCTAAGTGCACAAAGAAGAAAAAACCTATTACAAAATGCACGTAACTGAACATACACTTAGGTACATTTCCTTATGATATAAGCCAAAATTTCATTAGAAAACACCCACTTTGTTGAATTAGTGGTAAATGTATCTAAAAATTGCGACCTGCTTTTCTCCCCCATTGCCCCCTTTAGCAGGTCCTGTGGACCCCAGGATAGAAAATCCTGTTAAGAACACCGTTGACTGGTGCATGTTTCTCGTTGGTGATTGTTTTGCTTGTTTACCACTGATCCTTTTTGTTAGTTTGTATTTATGACGTAGATAGGTCCAGTTGAGGGATGATTTTGTCTATGACTAACATGACTTAATAAGTTTTAAATTACTCAATAGATATATTCTTAATTTTGATTTTTCAATTTGTGAAATACAGCATGATGCTCCAGTGATTGTACAACCACTTATTCCAAGCAGTCCAGTCCATTTTCCAGCTTATCCAAGTCAACAGACCTATGTGCAACCATCCGCTCCAGGTACCCTTTTTAATCCTTGAACTGAAATTTTATTCTCCACGCAACTGCCGTTTAAATTAAAAACAATTCTGCAAGAATTTCAAGCCCTGATACTTACAGTTCTAATGCCATTAACTCAAAACTGCACCAAGTGCTAAGACTGTTAAAATAGTTCCTATCTTTCTACACACTTGTCAGGATTTATATTTAAGTACAGGGCTCAAAATAACGGTCATTTTTGGATGCGAACATTTTATAATATTTTCCATATAATTGTCGCTTAATGCGTTTTGCTAGATATAACATTGTTTGTCCAGGCTAAAAAGTATTTGGCCCATCATCATGACTGGCGACCTGCTGTCCGTTATTTTGAGCCCTGAAGTAAGCTCAAAATTGCTAGCCTGCGTGCAGGTGTCTCCTATTTCCTTTGAAAAGGCGACGTCTGCACACAGGCTAAAAAAACTGCCGGATCGATTTCAAAATTTGAGGAGCTTGTCAAATGTCTGTGGTGATAAGAAGAGAAGCTGCCAGTGTGTTTCGTTGTTTGCCGTCCCACTTCCTCATCATAACAAATCATGTTATCTTTCCAGTTGATATAAATTACCGAGACCCATACAGGCATGCCATAAGAGAGCTTGAGAGGTACACCAGCCCAAAGAAGGAAACTCCACAAATGCAGAGGTAACTTGTCACTTTTTGTATTCTAGTAATTATTATACATCTCTGTCCAACTTACTCTAGCCTGTTCACAGACCCTCTATTTTCTCTTCAAAGTCCATCGGGCGCGGGTGATAAAATATAAACCGCAGGACAAGGGGGTAGTGGTGGGGGAAGAAATTTTCTTTCTCACGCTCCGCGCTCGTTCTCGCGCACTCGCTTCGCTTGCGAGTTCGCCGATGTTTTTGAAAAGGACGAAAATAAAATAAAACGTCTGTGTACAGGCTAACTTACTCAGCTCTGCTTACCAGAGTCCTTTTCCGAAAATATTAGCAAAATAACCAATAAACACGAGGTCCAATCAGAAGGATGCAGCGTTTATTCGAAGATTACATGACTGTTTACTTCCTGTTTTACAAGATTCGAATGATTTACCGTCATTGTTGTCAGTGATTTAAGAAATGTGATTTTGAAAGACAAGGCGCCCTCGAATAAACACCGCATAAGAAACGTTGAAAATTAAATAAGCGCCGCAGTGTTTAATCGAATAAAGAAGGTACTGATTCAATAGAAATGAACCGCATCTATGCCTTTTTTCATGGCTCTGAAGCTCACCCTTGCGCTTTCCCACCACAATTTTCACCAGCCAGTTTGCATCTGGCAGTTTTATTGTAGCTCAATGAAGAAAGCATTTGTGGTGAAGCCGCTGGAGAAACTTCCCCTGTCCCCTTCCCCTCCCCGGACCCTTTTCTCTTATTAGAGAGTTTAAGCATCACGTTCACGGCAAACGGAAAAGTCAGATTCACGTTGAGAATTTCTCAAAATAGAAAATGAGAGCCTACGTGTAGCCGCGCCCTCCCCCCGACAAAGGAAAAATGGATAGAGGGAGCTCCCTCTCTCCCTTTTTCTTTTGTCGCGGAGAGGGTGTGGCTACACATAGGCTACAATTCTTACGGATAAAAAATTGCGTGAAATTACTAATTTATGTGTAGAAATAATAAACAGTAAAAAACGACAAGTAAAGAGGAAACTTGGTCTCGTGGTACAGATTCGCGTTTGCGGCTTGGCGTAAACGATGCTAAGCCTCTCTATTACGGCTCGTTTTCACGGCGAATTCTTCACAACAACCCAGTGAAACTGCTTCCTAGATTTACTTGTGATACTCAAGTTGGCAGTTAGCTATGCCTGCACATAAAGTTATTAGAGTGGTACTGTTGGGCTGATGATTAATAAATAAACTGTTATATTTTTTCAGAATTATTTCACAAAGTGGCAGCATAGGACCAGCTAAAAAAGACAAAGTAAGTACCTTCATAAAAATTTGAAAATTATCGTTTCACATTCCATTTCAAAATAATGTAAACCCAGAGCTCAAAATAATTTGACACTGTTGCCTAACGTGATTACCGGCCAAGAAATTTTAGCTCGGTCACTACTAGCCTAATAAGCAAGCAAAAACATGAAGTGAAAAAAGATACTTGTTCTCTCGAAACGTANAAATTATCGTTTCACATTCCATTTCAAAATAATGTAAACCCAGAGCTCAAAATAATTTGACACTGTTGCCTAACGTGATTACCGGCCAAGAAATTTTAGCTCGGTCACTACTAGCCTAATAAGCAAGCAAAAACATGAAGTGAAAAAAGATACTTGTTCTCTCGAAACGTAATAGTGTGAATTTTTTTTCTGGTCGGTTATTTACGTATCTGTTAAAATGTACCCTGGGTGCCAGAGGCTTTTTATGCGCGGTTTCCGCTTTCGGTCAAGTCTTAAAAAGTGAGTGGCTTCGCCGCTCGTGTCTTCGGCCTTTGGCCGAACACGTGTCGGCCTGCGGCCGACAAAACGAAGCTCCCCGTCGCACACGAGAAAAAACCTCTGGTACCCAGGGTAGTCAAAATGATGGGCAAACCGAAACTTTGTCCGGACCAATGGTAATCCTGACCGGACATTGTCCGTTGACCGGTTGTTATTTTGAGCCGTGAAACCCACACTGAGACCGATGAATTTGTCCCCTTTTACTGAAACTGATCTACACATGTCTTATAAACATAAACATACGAATTGTCAAAACGCCAACACTAATTGTACCGTTAATAAAGGATAACGACTTGTCAAAGAAGCTTCGCGATTAGCGCCATTGGTACGATTGGTATGCCATTGGTAACTGCAAGCTGATAGCGACACGGGCATCCCGAACAAACACGCAATGAATGAATGATTGGTCGATTGCGATTGGTCTCATTGGTTTTACGAAGTCAGGGTCGGTTTACACTAGAAAATATTTTTTGCGGATTCGTGACGAATCTGGCGCTTGGAACTGTAATTACGTAATTGACCAATCAGATCAATAACCAGAGTATAATACCATCAACTGACGTGATACAACTCACTTTGACTCTGAAGATGACTACCTCGCGGGTTGTCGAAACGTCAGTCACTGTCAACAACAACAGTCCTATTCAGGACTACGTTCACCCAGACGATCAAACTCAACCTACTTTTGAAATGACCCCTGGGTTCAAACCTTTCACAGTCATTAAACTTTGTTGTTCCTCCCCCTATAGCCTCTGTTATGCTGTCATCATACACCACTCATCATAAGATTATCATCATACAAATACCGTACAAAATTGAAGTATAAACGTTGTTTATCATTATCTTTTTTTAGAAACATGCATTCGTCTCCAAAACTGTAATCAAGCCTGAGAGCTGCCAGCCGGTAAGTAAGATTTGAACACCCCTCTCCCCCATTTTAAACTTCTCATAAGCATTTTTTGCTTGATTTTTGAAGTTTATCTTGCTTCGCTGCGTTTAATTTGTTTACTGTATTGTCTCTACAGTGTAACAAGAGGATAAAGTTTGGAAAACTAGCCTTGAAGTGCAAAGGTAATTACAGCAGTCAATTTATGGTTGAATTGGCGTAGTGAAGGAGGCAAATTATTAAATGTTAGAAGTTTTATCATTTTGCGAGTGGCAGAGGGCTTAACCTCCTTAGAAAAACAAAACCGTGTTGTTAACTTTTCTGGTGAATAAAGAATAATGCCAGTCTTTTTCGGGGTGCATTGTTTTGAGAATACGGGAAAAAAACTTATGTCAAATCTTGTCCTCGTCTATAGGACGCTGTTGTTAATGGCCTTAAAGCTTCGTGCTTTTCTTTGCAGATTGTCGTGCTGTGTGCCACCCTGACTGTAAAGATCAGCTTCCGCTTCCTTGTGTGCCCTCTAATGACACTCCAGGATCTGGCAGACGTCGCCCAGTAAGCGCGAGACATCTTTATACACACCTTACATTCAGTCACATGTCCATGTCGGTTTTGTTGTTCTGACGACTGTGTCTTTGTTTTGTTAGGATGAAAACATCGAGTTCTTTGCTCCCACTACGAGTCCTATGGTGCCAGAGATTGTTGTACGTATTTTATCATTAGAGAGCTTTAGATTCGAGGACGACTTCGAGTACGAGATTTTCTCAGTATTAAGTATTGCTCGCGCGAGAACCAGCGTCATTTTGGCGGGAAAACGTGATAGCCGTCGTCATTCTACAACGGAATTTAGCGAGAATGTCGCAGTTGCACGAACAAGTTATCAAATGTTAGAAGTATTATCATTCTGCTATCGAGAGAGGGCTTAACCTCCTTCAGTATAAATAACGGTAACCGTACTAACATTTTTTGTAAAAAAAAAAAGTAAAATAAAGCTTTCCGGGGTGTCTGTTTTTTTAGGACAGGCACACCAACTTTAAGTTGAACGTTCTCGCCCTCAAATCTACAGCTCTCTATTAAAACGTGTCAAAACTGAAGTCATTCCCAAACCCTATTTTCAGCCGACATTTTGCGACGCCACCACTGGTTTCTCCGCGAAATGACGTCTGAGAAACGAGCGCAGAAATTCCATACTGATTACGCGTCACTGCCCTGAT